ATGGCATGACCCTCCATTCCCCATCCTCCCTGTTCACCCAATTTCGCCCCAAGTGACTTTTTTTTGTTTTCTCTGATGAAAAAATTCCTCAAATAGAAACGTTTTGTTGATGTGGAAGGGGTGAACCAAGAAACAGCAGAAGCACTGAAAGGCATCAAAATTGAGTGCAAACATTGTTTTGAGCAGTGGAAAAAGCATCTGAATAGGAGTACTGCATCAAATGAAGAAAACTTTGAAGGTGACTGAAGTGTATAAATAAATTCTGAGGTTTTTTGGAGCAAACTCAAATAGGAGTAACAGAATTGTAGGTGCCCTTGGAGGTTAACTGGCTTTTTAAATGTTATCTTGGGGATTTTATAGCTGGAATTCACTCAAGATGGCAGGAATCAGCCTGACCCATAGCTATTATATATTCAGCAAATTCAACAAAAGAATATTCAGCCTGGAAGGAAATCAAAACCAGAAATAATAATTTATTGAGGGCTTCACTTTGTGCCAGACCCTGTGTTAACTGCTTTGCATTTATTATCTCATTTAGCAGGGTGCAATGGCTTGCACCTGTAATCCCAGCACTTTGGGAGGTGGAAGTGAGAGTACTGCCTGAGCCCACGGGTTCAAGGCCAGCCTGGGCAACATGGCAAGACCTCATCTCTACAATAAATCAAGAAAAATTAGCTGGGCATAGTGGCACACGCCTGTAGTTCCAGTTACTAGAAAGGCTGAGGTGGAAGGATCACCTGAGTCCAGCAGGTCAAGGCTGTGGTGGCCATGAGCATGCCACTGCACTCCAGCCTGGGCAACAGAGTGAGACTCCTACTCAAAAAAAAAAAAAAACAAAAAACAAAAAAACCAACAAACTATCTCATTTAATCCTCACTCCCAAAAGGTAGGTTATCCATATAAACCTCATTTTAAAGATGAAGAAACAGAGAGAAAGAGGAGAGTAATTTTCCCATGATTCACACGAGCAATCCTTATGTAATACTGTGATTTTTGACAAAATTTAAGGGTTTAATACATTACAGTGAAGACACAGATCACAGTTATCACAGAATCTGAAAGACATCGAGTCTTGCAAAATGTCTTAAAACATTAATTTCTCACAATCTTTGCATGTTTTTTTTTTCAGGCAAGGGAAACCCAGTGCAAAAAAGTTTCTATGAAATGCACCCAGATGGCAAACACCTGTGGTCTTTATTATCCAGGACTTATTCCAGAAGATTCTAATTCATGGGGCTAGAGTAGGCCCTGAACATCTGTATTAAAAAAACAAACAAACAAACAAACATGCAAAGCCAAAGAAACCAACAAGAGAGCAGGGAGACAGCCTATAGATTGGGAAAAAGTATTTGCCAACACCAGGTCTGACAAAGGCTTAACATCTTGGATCTACAAGAAACTCAAAC